CCAGAAAATATTGATTTACGAAAATGCAATATGCCCGGATTAATGAATTAAGTAGAACTGTTCAGTGCGATAAACAAATTAATTTTCCCTCGGCGTTTCCACTAATTGGCAAAGGTTAAATATTTGGGGGACCACAAAATTACTACGATTGATTGTACAAATCCGTTAATTTCTGTTGTTAAATTGGTGTTGATTCCCGCTGTTATCGGCGGTAATCACTGATAAAGGCGAAATTTCGCGTGATTTGCGTAACGGGAATCGTCGAAATTAAAGGTAGAAAGGAACAAACAACAAATGGATTTGGTAACAACATCAATCGGGGAAATTGATCAAATTCGGCGGAAAATGAGCACACACAATCGGAATAACAACAAGCGGAAATACGAAAAGGAAATTAAACGTGGGAGAGGGGAGGACCAGATGCAGATAACATATGTGATTTTATTGAATCCTGCTGTGCGCAAATACTGAAAGCAATTAATTAATTCCGACTGCGCTCTTTACCTCGTTTCAATTTTATTTCTCTCCTATTTTCATTTGTTCCTTTTCTCGTTTCGTTTGTTTTCTGCGTGTGCATGTGTCTCGCATTTGCGGATGATATTTCAATTATTACGCTAGATTTCCTAATCGGATCACACGGTCCGCTTCGAGCCGCCCCCCGGCGGCAGTCTCACCCCGTGCGCCCTCCACCCCTCTGTGTGGATGGCGAGGGGCGGGAGCCGCCCGTCCGCCCCCTTCTGCCACCCGCCCCCTCCCCAAAACGGGCCCGGATTACTCTTCCAAACAAGATTATAATGTAATCACATGTTGTAGACAACTAACGTAGATAAAATACTAACAGCGCAAACCCATTAGCATTCCCATTAAATACTAATTATCTCTAGCTATATTCAAATTAAGCAACCCTCGAAGTACCGGAGCAACAATGGAAAACGGATTTCGCAAAACGGAAGAAATAACATTAAACCTAACCAAATCGTATGTGTGCATCACATCATCATCTTGTTACTACAATTACATTCTCAGAAGAACAATTTTCAAACAAATAATCTTTTCTGAAACCCTGATAGTTAATGTACAAAATGTACATTATATTATAAATTAAGAATATTATAAGAAGCACATTCACATTTTCATTGAAAAATGTTAAATTTCATTTAAACCAAAATAATTTAAGAAGAAAACTGTTGTTTACAAATTTGATAATTCTTTAAAATTTGTCACCTCCAAATGTTTATAGAAAATAATTCGTAAAAAAATAATACCCGGCGCATCCACCATAATTTAATAAATTAATGTTGATTAAATAAACCATAAAAGTTTTAAAAAAAATATAGTTTATTAATTATTGTTCGGTTTAAGTCAAAGTAATGTATTTTTAATTATACTATATAATTAATGAATTAAGAATTAAATTAACGTTTCTAAATTTGAATGTATGTTTTCTTATCTGAGGTGAGTGTGTAAAAATGTTTTTTTTTTAGGAGAAAGTTTCCTTGCTTCGAATCAGATATTTTTAAAATGGAATCAAATTTTGGAAAAGACCAGAAACTGTTTAGGGTAGTTTATGTCAAAGTAATGTATTTTAGAAAATAATTTTAATTATATTTTATAATTAATGAATTATGAATTAAATTAACGTTTCTAAATTTGAATGTATTATTTGTTTTCTTATCTGAGAGTGTAAAAATGTNCCCCTGCCATTTCTGTAATTGCCTGGAGGCTAGAGCCCGACTTGATTGGCTGCCGTGCTGCACTAATCCCGATTTAGCCCCCCCAGAAAGCCCAAATATGAGTGTGTGTGTGTGTGTTTGTGCGTACTCGTGCGTAGAGCCAAGATTCCTCCTCGAAACCAAAGTCAAATTAAATCATCTCCCCGTCGTTTTTCCGACCATTTTTACCATCCATTCTCTTCCTCCATTTCCACCAGTGAGCACACCTGTATGTGTGAATGCGCCTTTTACGGTGAGCCGAGGGAAAAACACACACACACACACAAATTTTCTTATGGGATCAAATGACTCGGAAAGCAAATCCCGTGGACTTAGCGTGCGGCCTGGTTATCTCGCGGTAGTTTCTGGTTGGGCCTCTTCAAACCCACCAGGTGTCATCCCTCAGTCCTTCCATCTCTCTCCGACGCAACACTCCGAATCGCAACTTGCTTCCTTCCTTTGGGCTGAGACGGCTTTCGGGAGCTTTCGGATTTATCTCCACTGTCACTCTTTTACTCTTACCCAGGTCAATTGATTCCCGAAACCACGGCAGATTATCGCCGTGGAGACGCCAGCAACCGAGAGAAGACCTCATTGCCCGAACCGAATTATGCACGACTCTCTAAGCACACGCAAACACCCCCACATTAATCTATGGAATCTCGCTAATCTCTCGCCCGTTCCAATCTTAAAATTAATTACGCCCTCTGACGCCCATTAACCTTTTCACTGCTACAACTTCCAACCAACCGAACTCAATTCAAAATAAAACCCAATTCAAAACTCTCCTTAATTCCATTCAATTCATAGCAACATATTAATCATCAAGACAAGAAACAAAATACTTACAAAACATAAAAGGATGTTAATTCAGTATATCTTTAAAAATGATATTACATAAACTCATTCATTCTATGAAAATACTGCATTTTTACTATACAGTAAAACCTCGATTAACGAGCGACGTTTCGCATAGCGAAGAGAAGTCCCGTATTGTGCGCCCTCTACATCATTTTTAAAACTTGTATACACAAATTATGTGTATTTTTGAATATGTTTCACTACGATTCAAAATCCGGAAAATTGGAACGAATTAAATTCGTTAAGCGAGGTTCCACTGCATTTATAAACAAACAATTATAAATATTAAAAGACTTACCGCGAATTTACAACAACGAAAACCAATTGACACTTTTCTAAAAACGACAGATAATCAAAATTATAGCCCACTAGGATTTTAATCTGAATCGATAATATTCCTTATAATTTACTTAAAACTCACTAGAAACACTGAACTAAAATCATGTTTCTTCCTTAATTTTTTTATGAAATTATTATTTAAACAACTAGTTTATTTTTCTAAGTATTCTATTAAATCGCAAATCATTCCTGGATTACCAGAGAGTGTACTCAATTAAAGACTTAAGATAGATTTACATGAGCATAGAATATTAAGACAGATTCTAGTTAATTGTGTAAATCGGTCTTCATACATCCAATATATGTTTGAAAAAATAACCAATATTAGTTTTTAAGTGTTGTAAATATCAATAGACAAATTGTTATTTTTTTTTTGATTATTTCTAATTCTAATATGTTGCTTTATTTTATGGACTTCGGAAGATTTCTTTTGTCGAAATTTTTACGTAAAGTTTTTTTTCTCACTCTCTTTATTTTCCATTTCGAAATTTGTTGTTTCATTAATTGTTTTTGGTATATAATATTCCTTATAATTTACTTAAAACTCACTAGAAACACTGAACTAAAATCATGTTTCTTCCTTAATTTTTTTATGAAATTATTATTTAATCAACTAGTTTATTTTTCTAAGTATTGTACTTTTTATTTTAATTTAATTCAAGATTTTTGCTTTGTTTTGTGTACTAAGGTATAAACGTAGAAAATGCGGTAATGAATCTGGCAATAAATCAAAATTCAATTAAGAGAAGAAACAAGATGGAAAAAGAACAGAGCGTAACATGAAAAAGGACATTATATAAACGATGTAATGTCCTTTAAGGTTGAAATCTTTTGGGGGAGTTGGAGGTGGTTGAGAGGAGGCACCGTCGGAACGGCAATAAAGAAGAATTATTAAGGAGAGCCGTGAACCGGGGGAAAATCCAGTCAAACTTTCGGTTGCATCCCCAGTTTGGGGATCAAGTAATTATTATATAATGAATATCAAATGCGTTATATTTAACAAAACAGCTAAAACTAATCATATTAATTGAGATTTATACACTGCAGTCGTCTATACATAATAATTTTTGAAAAAAAAAATAAAAACTTCATTATTACAGTATACAAATTGTTGTATTTTCAAAGATATTATAAGAAAATATTGTTAAATGACAATTATTTATTTAAACTATAAATTTGAAAGAACTAATGTTTTTTTTTATTATAATTCAATTAATTTAAAATACGTAATCATTAGGGGCATCTGTTGTTCAAAAAAACCGCTGAGCACTAAAAGGTTTGCTTCTCAACTAAATCATTTTGGTGCCATCTCTTAATTTTATTTCAAAGTCACAAGTTTGACTGTTTTGGCGCTGTTTGAATTGTTAATTGAAAACTTAAATATAAATTAATGCCAATTAAAGTATATCAGAAATATTTCAATAAATATTAATTTCTAAGGAATGAAAATAAAATTCAAATTTAGTTTATTCATTTATAACATGTTTATATATCAGACCTAAGAAGGCTATGGATGTAGAAGAGACAGAAAACAAAAGAAATTACTATCACAGTAGGAAAAAATGCAGATGCAGTGCTGAAACTTGCCAATTGGACATTAATCAAAATACCAAAAACAATTAATGAAACAACAAATTTCGAAATTGAAAATGAAGAGAGAAAAAACATTACGTAAAAATTTCGACAAGAGAAATCTTCCGAAGTCCATAAAATAATGCAACATATTAGAATTAGAAATAATCAAAAAAAAAAATAACAATTTGTCTACTGATATTTACAACACTTAAAAAACTAATATTGGTTATTTTCTCAAACATATATTGGATGTATGAAGACAGATTTACACGATTAACTAGAATCTGTCTTAATATTCTATGCTCATGTAAATCTGTCTTAAGTCTTTAATTGAGCACACTCTCTGGTAATCCAGGAATGATTTGCGATTTAATAGAAACTTAAATAATATGGATTTACCAAAGTTAAATAAAGAAAATATGCTATAATTTATATATGGATGATTGAGTTATGCAACTTTTATGTCTTCTGATTAGAGATGTATGATCGTTTGCCTATGGTAAAATCAAAAGATCGATAACGGCGAATATTTATTTGATAACAATTGGTTGCATAACAATATCCGATTCTGCTAAAACGCAAAATTCGCTTAATCCAGTCTCATGCTATCAGCGCAAGCATGATTTATCCTATAGTTAACGTAGATGATGCCTGAGCTATGCCAGTAGTAGAGAGCTAAGACAATGATGATGTGCCACCATTGATGAGAATGTCCCAAGTAATCGAATTTACCGGCGCAGAAGCGCTCAGGAATCTTCGTGATGTAAATGAAGAAGGCAGTGCCGCTGATGGCGTACATCCCCAGAACTCGAGGAAGCAAAAGCTAAAAAAAATAAAGTTGATAATTTCGTTATTGTTAATAGTTGGAAACACGTACTTCAACGACGGGATTGTTGATGCCACCCATGACGAAGATCCAATGGATGGTCGGGATCACTCCGTATGCAGCCCAAGATACGAAGACTATCATCCTCGTATTGGAATCCACGTTGAATTTGGGATGTTGCAGTAGCATAGCGACGAAGAAGATTAAAGTCACGGAGATGATGTAGAATTGACGCCAATGCTATCAATGATAATATTTAGATTTTTTTACTTAAAGTTTCAAAGATGTGATTAATTACCGAATGGCACCAGAACGCAAAGTATATGCCTGAGGTGTAGATGGCCAAGAGGCTTAAAGCTATACCGAAGAGGTCCAAATTGAGGAAGCCGTGGAAGTCTTCTTCGGAGCGACAATTGAATGTGTGGTACATGGAGGATAGAAACATGCATGCCTACAAAAAGATTTAAATATTTTAATTTCGATTTTATAATTGATGTTTTCATTTGATTTACCACAAAACAGAAAAGAACGCTGGCTACTAAGAATTTATCGCTCATGTGACCGTGGATGTTTAAGGCCAAGAAATCGTAGAAGGTGAGAGCAGTGAAGAGAACGAATCCGAAAATATGAGACCAAATGTTGATGGTTTCATTGGTCCACCAGAAGATGCTGTTAAATATATAAATGTTAATAGATAAATTGCGTTTTATGTAATAAGTATACCTTTCTATGCAGAGTTTGGTGTTCAGGATGCCTCTGTAGCCGGATAAGATGAATCTGTTGTGTGCTAGATACGATGGAGCCTCGTCGAAGGTTAAAAGCCTCTTCATCTTCTCCTCGGATTCGTAGCTTTTGCTTCTGCTCTTCTTCTTCTTCTCTTCGGCAGATTTACCGCACTTGTCGTACTCCTCCTCATCGTGAACCGTCTGCGTCCTGTCCTGTTTAAATTGTAAACACGTAAAACAAATTACACGACTAAAATCGTTCGCTCGACCCAAATCTCCTTTCGCTCTATGTTTACGTTTTGCCCAACGCGCTTACGCAACGCGCCGCAAAGAAAGTTCAGCAGCCTTGATCGTGAATAGGCCGGTTCGGACAGAAGTATTGAACCATATTGAACCTTGCTGGCCTGCACCACGTAAGGTTGCGCAGTGCTGTCGCAAAGCAATTGCGATTTTACTGTGCAATTGCCGAATCGATTCGAGCGCTTTTGCATTCTCTCGCAATTAACCGTGCATCCCGTGAAAGTGGAAAGGAATTTCACTTCTTGATCTCCGCTAATCCAACAACAACGACAGTATAAAGCGTCAGCAGAGAATTGAATTAAGTAAAGCCGAATTGGATGACAAAGCCTCCTTCAATTCGGGCCCATTAGTGGGCGAAAAATAGTACCTAGCAAGGACGAACCAATTCATACAAAACAAGAACCACGCTTCTGCACTAATAATTGCTTTCGCGAAGAAGTGGGTTATTCATACATACGTAGGAAAGAAATCGGCGCAACGAATGGAGTTTCCTGCAATTTTACCAAATGATATACTCTTATGCAAAAAGAAACGAAAAAATTACATAGCAAAATAAAAAAAAAAGTAGACATAACCGGATAGAGGATTATCACTACAATTTTATTTATCTAAACGGTTTTCGCATGGGTCAACGTTCAAAATCTATGATTTTTTTATGTTATCAGCACGATATGATTTCTCATTGACTATTGCAATAAAAAATCTAATTCCATCGCTTTAATTATTACGTGTCTTCTCTCCTTTCGCGCTTGCCGCAATTAATTGTTATATAACTAGCGGCAACGAAAGTTCCAAATCGTTATATAAATGCAACAACGACATCGTAAAAACAACAAGCATGGAACGAACGTTTCATTGTCAAACGAACTTGAAAACATTGAGCAAATTGATTTCTTTAATTTTATACGAATTTCAAATATTTTTAATACTATTCCAATGCAATACATTACGTTAACTGTTTTAGTAAATATTGCATCAATGAAATCCATATATTCCAAACTACTTATTATATAGAAAGTATTACATATTTGCAAATTTACCTTCACTTTCATATGGAAGAAATTATGTAGTATTAAATTGAACTTGTAACAGTAACTTATTGGATTTATTTAACATTTTGCACTATAAATATTGAAATTATTAGATTATTTATCAAAAAAAACACGTGTTTACTGTTCAAAAACTAGCTTGCAATTGGTCATTTATAAAGATTTTTGTCTATATTTGAAGCGCAATGTCAGGCCAACATTTCGCTATAATTAGAAACGTTCGTTCGAAATAAATATTGAAGAGGCCAAGTATGTTTTTGGTGTAAATTACTAATAAACAGAATTCTTTGATTTGTTTCTCAAAATTATTCACACATTTAGTCACGAAAATATCAATTGTCTGACTCAATCCACGATAATCAAATATAAACTTAATATAATAATCACAACATCATTAAATTTCAGGTTTGTCTGGATTTTTTAATTGACGAAATTCGATTTTTTAACAGATTTCCATTACATTTTCTCGCATGCAGCGAAAAGATGAAAACAAACCAAAGGTCAACAAAGTATACCGAAACCAGTTCTCATTCATTGTTTAAGTACGTCAAATAATCAAGTTCAAATGACTTTTTTGTTTAATTGCATATTGATTAACAGTTTCCTGTATCTCGTGAACTTTTCTGTTTAATGAAACGGAAAATACGCACAAAAATCCAGTTCAAAAAAGGTCAAGTAAATATTTCCTGATTCTCCTTTTTTTTCTTATATTTACAAAACTTAAAATATTTTTAAATCAGTAAATTTTTAAACAATAATTTTTGATTATGGATAGATAAATTTGTATAATAGTGCAAGAAATAATCATTTTTTAATTACTGATTTCTAAATATAAAAATATCTCTAATCAATGTTTTTAAATATTTGATTAACTTTAGATTAACAAAAATATTTCTGATAATCTTCAATGAAACGTTTTGATATAATAAAATGATTAAGTTAAAAATCTCAATTTTTCTTATTCATTTTTTTTTTTTGCAATTTAAAGTGAAATTAAGCATTTGTTTTAATTTAAAAGGAAAATAAATCATGAAAAGTTGTGAAAGTCTGCGTGAAACAAAGCAAGCGTTACTTTAATAACAATCGAATGGAACAAAAGGTGGAATCAATTGAAACTGAAACTTTC